AATAACACATACATATATAATTAAAATATCATTTTAAGGACCACTATTGGGCCTTATTTCAGATAATTCCACCTAAAATGTTATATTCTAAAATCCATTCTATTCTATTCTACTTCATTTTTCAAATGCCTATCTTGACCCTAATTTGGAAATATATTCTTTGAACTTACTTGGATGGAGGGTGTTCCTATTTCTTCTCCAAATGGGTTTGGGCAGCAATAAACTACAGAGTTTTGTCAGTGACTCCGTCCCAAAGGATCTTATCTGGGAGGATGATGCAAGTGAAATCATCAGAAGAATTATAGTTCGGGCCCTATAGGGATCCCAAAGCAGGCTGGAGATCAGTTAACTTTATTCTCTGGTTTTGAGGAACCACAGATCTATAGCTCTGCCTTTAGCATGACAGTATTGCCCTAATGTTCTCATTTTGGAATGCTACCTATTTATTAATAATTTTATTTATTAATAATGTTATTCTTATATGTAATTTATAGTGCCATCTATTATTGTTTTAATTGTTCATATTGCTGCTGCTGTTGCTTAGAGACACAGTTTGAATTTATCTTTGAAAGGAAGATAAGAATTACCTTGTGAAAAGTCTTAAAACCTGTCTTTCAAAGAACTAATATCCAACTCCCAAAAATCTATTTCAGAATAGTTTAAAATACAATGTTCACTCTTTAGCTTACTCTTTGAAATGCTCATGAAGTATTCGTTTCCTCTTCAAGGTTGTCACTAACTCTTATTACTTAATTTCCTTAGTTATGTAGTATAAAGAGTTCTCTTCCAGATTATTTTCTTAGACGCTCTGTAGCTATGGCAAGCGAAGATCATAATTTTAATACTTATTAGAGAACAATGCATTTGCATTTGAGGAGACTGAATTGCACCCCCCAAATTCATATATTGAAGCCTTAACCCCCAGTGTGAGCCCCCTTGTAAGATGGGACCCCAGAGAGATGCATACTTTCTCTCAAACTCTTAGATCACAAAGAAGAGGTCATGAGTCATGTGAGCACACAGCAAGGTGGTGGCTGCCTACAAGCTGGGAACAGAGCCCTAACTAGGAGTTGCATCAGATAGAACCTTGATCTTGGACTTCTGGCCCCCAGAACTGTCAGAAAATAAATTTCTGGCAGTCATTTAAGCCACTGAGTCTATGATATTTTGTAATGGCAGCATGAGCTGAATAAGAACATCTTTGAGGAAGCAAAAGCCTTTTTTGGGGGAGGAATGTGGTTGGGGAGAAGGAAAGCAATTATGGAATTCTTTTTTTTATCCCCCAGATTAGTGTGTTTTTGCTGTCTGAGGATGAAGATAAACCAGATAACCCAAATATGTCTTCTATAGGTTTTAAGTAGACAGAAGGTAAAAATCACAACTGGATTTACACAAAACTGAATTTTAAAAACATAAGTGAGATGGCCAGTAAGGTATTTGGTACAAACTCTTGGATCAAAAGTGAGGAGAATCTCTCCAGAGACTCTAGATTTGATGATGGATAACTTATTGTATATGTGAATATGGAGGGATATACTTGTTTGTTTCATATACTGGTCTTGAATATTAATTTGTCACATAGTTTTCTATGAAATAACTATGTTTTAGATATTAAATAATTCATTTGTGAATATATAGTATCTAATTTTGTTTTAAACTTGTAGTCATACCTCATACAGATGGTAAAATGCCCTATTATTGGTTATGTCTTAATATAAAATGCCATGACTTGGTGTCTGATAGTAGGACAATGCAATGATAATTAGAAAGAAATTTTCTATGTAAATTCATGCATTTAAATAAATTAGATTGAATTCAAGTGGCAATGAAGAGAAGTTGTTAATCACAATTTGTTAAGATTTTTGGTTTTTTTTACAATATTCTTTCAATGTCAGTTTTATATGGGTTACCAAAGACTCTTTCCAGAGAATGCTTTATCTTCTAATATCTTAGTTTTCAGGGAAAAGTGTTCATCACAATTGATAAAAGTTCAGGGGAAGGGAGAGTCTTCAACCAGGTAATGCGTAGGGAAACTGTTAGGGTGCAAAAATTATACTGCATGTTACCGGGGTAGTGGTTGCTTGACTCTACGCATTTGTCAAAAATCTATAGAACTTTGCATAAAGGTTGAACTAGTTTGCAGTCCTACCAACAGTATGTTTTAGTGTTCCTTTCTTTCTGCATCCATGCCAGCACATGTTGTTTTGGGACTTTTTGATAAAAGCCATTCTCACTGGGGTTAGGTGATATCTCTTTGTGGTTTTGATTTGCATTTCACTGATGATTAGAGACTTTGAGCATTTTTTTTTTTTGATATGCTTATTGGCCATTAGTCTTTATTCTTCTGAAAAGCTTCTGTGCTTCTGTGCGTATTTTTCGCCACTTTTTAATGGGGTCATTAAATTTTTTCTTGCTGTTTTGCTTGAGTTCTTTATATATTCTGCTTGTTAGTCCATTTTTTTTTTTTTGAGACAGAGTCTTACTCCATTGTCCGGGATAGAGTGCCATGGCCCCAGCCTAGCTCACAGCAACCTGGGCTCAAGCAATCCTTCTGCCTCAGCCTCCCAAGTTAGCTGGGACTATAGGCATGCACCACCATGCTGGGCTAATTTTTTCTATATATTTTTAGTTGTCCAGCTAACTTCTTTTTATTGTTTTTTTTTTTTTTTAGTAGAGACAGGGTCCCCCTCTTGCTCAGGCTGGTCTTGAACTCCTGAGCTCAAACCATCCTCCCACCTCGGTCTCCCAGAGTGCTAGGATTAGAGGCATGAGCCACCATGCCTGGTCCTAGTCCTTTATCAGATGTATAACAGATAAATATTTTCTCCCATTCTGTAGGTTGTCTGTTCACTCTATTGTTTCCTTGGCTGTGCAGAAGCTTTTTAATGCGGTCAGGTCCCACTTATTTATGGATTCCCAATTGCTATAAAGAAAAGAAAATACCTAGGAATGTACTTAACGAAGTAGGTGAAAGATTTCTACAATGAGAACTATGGAACACTGAGGAAGGAAATCACAAATGACACAAACAAGTGGAAAGATATATCATGCTTATGGATCGGCAGAATCAACATTGTTAAAATATCCATACTGCCCAAAGATATTTACAGATTCAATGCAATCCCCATCAAAATACCAACATCATATTTCACACATGAAGAAAAAATAAGTGTATGCTTTGTTTGGAACAAGAAAATAGCCCGAATAGCAAATCTCAAAGCAATCTTAAGCAAAAGGAACACATCGTGAGGCATTACATTACCAGACTTCAAACTATACTACAAGATATGGTAACCAAAACAGCATGGTATTGGCAAAAAAATAGAGACATAGGCCAAGGGAACAGAGCAGAAAACCCAGATATGAAATCATCCACATACAGTAAACTGATCTTTGACAAATCAGGCAGCAATATACACTGGGGGAATAATCCCTATTCAATAAATGTTGCTGGGAAAATTGGATTGCCACATGCAGAAAAATGAAACAGGATCCATATCTCTCACCAGTCACCAAGTAAAAGGACCTATATTGATTATCATCTGAGAGCAATACACTCCAATAGTTTTATTAATTTTGGAAAAGAAAAAACTAATCATGAAGCAAAGTCCGTTTTTGCTTTTTAAAGTCGTTTTCTTAATTTTATGAACAAGAAAGCCTGGTTTCTATTAATGATGACTTTCTTCAGAGCTTCTTTCACATCCTTGTTCCGGAGGCTATAGATTAAGGGGTTCAGCATGGGAATGATCACCGTGTAGAAGACAGAAGCCATCTTGTCCGTGTCAAGAGAGTGGTTAGAGCTGGGTTGTAGGTACATAAAAATCAGGGTCCCGTAGAATATGGTGACCGCCAGCATGTGGGAGCTACACGTGGAGAAGGCTTTCTGTCTTCCCTCAGCTGAGTGCATCCTCAGGATGGCAGAAATAATGAACATGTAGGAGATAAAGACAATCAGAACAGAGGAAATGAATGTGATGCCTGCACAGGCAAAGATCCATAGCTGTTTGGAGTGAACGTCTGAGCAAGTTAACCTGAGGAGAGGCATGTCATCACAATAGAAGTGATTGATGACACTGGGGCCACAATAGCAGAGGCGGAAGGTGAGGGTAGTATGAAATAGTGCCATCAGGAAGCTATAGCTATAGGGGACAACTACAAGTTGAATGCAGATTGCTGGGGACATTTTGACCATATACAACAGAGGGTTACAAATGGCCACGTATCGATCATAGGCCATGGAAGCCAGTAGCAGGCACTCTGATACCATGAAGGTAAGAAAGAAGGCCAACTGAGTAGCACATGCATTGAAGGTTATAGAATTTTGCATATACAAAAAATTCCCAAGCATTTTGGGTGTAATGACAGAAGAGTAACAGAAATCGACGAAAGCCAGGTTGCTAAGGAAGAAGTACATCGGTGTGTTGAGCTTTGCATCTGCTCTAATGACTA